CATGTACTTTATAATTATTGTAAACAAAGAATTAAGTACTCTTTCATTAACTGCGTTTAAGCGTAGGCTTTATGTTAATTATATTTATAATTTTTTTTTAATTAACAATTTATTAAATTGTTAATAATTTAAAATTATGTAGTTGAAAAATGTTTTTATTTTTTTTTTTCAATTTTTCGATGTAACCAAAACAAATTTTTATAAACAAAAACTTCAATTAAAATCAGATGCGTCACCAGTTTACGTTAAACCATATAGGTTGCCGCATGCTCAAAATGCAGAAATAAGTAACCAAGTTCATAAAATGCTTAAAGATGACATTATCGAAGAAGCTAGATGCGAATGGTCATCACCCAAAAAACCTGATAATAAAGATGTGAAAAAATGGAGACTCGTAGTTGATTACCGTTTAGTTAATAAGCAAGCCATAAAAGATAAAAAATTTCCCTTGCTGAGCTTGGTGCTCGCTGCGGGTGGGAATGGCGCCGCGACCGCTCCACCTAAACTGGGTAGTAATTATAAAGAATATTTTTATATTTCTCACATGTCATCTGTCATCTATCATCTGTCACCTGTCATTTGTCAACTTGAAATCTGTCATCTGGCACCTTTCATCTTTTACCTGTCATCTGCCACCTATCATTTGTCATCTGTCACCTGTCACCTGTCATCTGGCACCTGTCACCTTTTATCTTTAATCTGTCATATGTCATCTGTCACCTGTCGACTTGACATATGTCACTTGTCACCTGTTCACTTGACATCTCTCAAAGTGTCGATGGATAATTTGTTATGTTCCCTGGTATATGTATGATTTGCGAAAAAAATTAAATCGATTTAAATTCAAAGATCCACCTGACACTTGACATATGCCACCTGACCACTTGACACCTGTCAAAGTGTTGCTGGATACTTTGTTGGGTTCCCCGGTATATGATTTTCGAAAAAAATTAAATCGACTTTAATTCAAAGATCCACCCGATAAACGAATTTCATTAATTATCTTTTTCGTTTGGGAAATTTATGCAATATCTAGCAACACCGCAATTAAATTTGGCAATGTTACACAATATTTTGTTGGATCCCCCTGTTATCAATTTGATTTCGGGGATTTTAATTGGTTAACTTTTTTAAATACCCAACAAAACTTAAACGGGCTTTTGGCCGATTAGTTTTCATTCGATGAAGCTCATCTTTTAGTATGTCAAACTTTGGTATTTTACCCGTCGATTCGTGTATTTCGTTCGGATAATTTCGAAAATTTCTCTCGCCCTACAAGACGTTTGAAATTTTTTCGAAAAAAATCAAAAAAGATCGCTGCTCGAAAAGTTTTCGACGGATCCGGCCCGTTTGCAATACCGATCGAATTACCGCCCCGAAGCACCTTTTCCCCGAGTTTGGTCGAAAAATCTCAGCTCCTTCGAAAGTTAAGCGATTTCAACGGAACGTGCCAAATTTGACAGAAAAGTGGAAAAAAAGTGGACTTGGGCCTTTTCGACACCGAAAAAATTTGGTCCGCGGATAGGTCTGGTGGGCAGAAAAAAAGGATGCAAATTTCGAGTGTCCACCTGTAACGGTTTCCGTGCTACGGCGGTTAGAAAAAAAAGGATACACAGACTAACAGGCTCACAGACAAAATGTTTTTTATTAAATTCGATTACGAGTCGATACATACCTTTGAAGTTGCCGTAGCTGCCCTCCTTGTCACACTTTCGCGATCCGCTCCTGGTGCCATAGGTGTGGGGAACCGCTGTAACATTTTGATTTTTTGGTATTTGTTTTGATTAAAAAAGGAAAGTTAGTTTTTTGTAGTAGAAATGTCTAGACAGTAAAAATGAGTAGTTTTTGTTTAAAAAGAATAACGGTTGTTAGGGAAGTATTTTTAAGAGAAAAAACATGTATTGGATTTGATTTGTTATGGGTCTTAATTTTACAACGTTTTCGTTGCACTTGTGAATAAAGTGTGAAATACAAACGTAGATTGCGTTTTATTCTACGAACCGCCAGGGTTTATTTAAATGGATTGTTCATTGGTCGTTGCTAGTCGTCCGTATAATCGGACGAATAAAAAATATTAATTAATTAACAAAAAACCCAACTAAAATGGGCAAATTTATGTTACGATAAAAATAAAACACTTTTTAACAAAGCAACAACAAATTTATGAAATAAAAAAAGTTTGACAACTTCTAGTAGATTTTATGTTATAACGTATACGATAAAACTAAAACAAACCAACCAACCCAACCCAACCGAACACTGTTTAACAAAGAAACAACAAATTTATGAAATAAAAAAAATAAAAAAAATTCGACAGCTTCTTAGTATCGAACCCGGGACCTCTCGCATGCCAAGCGAACGCCCTACCATATAAGCTATCTAGCTTGTTGTCAAATATTAAACGGTCGGTGAACAAAAGCGGATTATAATTATGACGTAACTAACGTGCCTTCTCGGAGGACTAGCTTCATTTTATTCGTCCGATGATCGGACTATTAGACAAGTCGTTGTTTATTTGGACTCGGCACAACATTTTTGGCGACCGTGACAGGACTGACAGTGCGAAAAAGGAAAACATTGTGTAAAAAAACTCTGGGTTCAAAACAAACGTTGTGTGTTGGTCAAGATTCGGCAGACGGGCAGCTGAAAATACTCGGTTAATGTCGCGCATAAAGGACACACAGCACAAGTGAGTGGTTTTCTGAAAAAAATATGTCAGTTTTGGAGCAGAAAAAGAAACACAGGCGAGTTCTTCGCACGCTGTTTACCAAGAGGGCCAATGAGTTGGACAGTTTATTGTCTGTAAGCGAAGAGCGGGATGAAAAGGCAACAAGAGTATGCAAAGTATATATATATTAATAAACAATAGTCGTGTTAACTGTTGCCATGAAAACTAAAAGTAATTTTTGGGACTTAAACAAATATTCAACTAAAAGGACCTATTTTTTCATGTTTCTTTTGAACGGAAAGGAAATTTGAAACGGTGGAAACTGATTCAGCCATTTTGAAACAAGAAAAAACTATTATGAAGAATACATTAAAATTAACAATTATTAGGGTGGCCCAAAAAAAAGAATATTTTTTTTCTTCTCGTCTCTTGTGAAAATATGTTGGTTTGTCATGTTTTAAGAGCCCTGTCAAAATATCAGCTCGATTAAAAATTTTGTAGGGGTCGCTCAAGATTTTTAAAAATTTTCAAAATCGTCAAAAATTGTATTTTTGTTTTATTTTAATTCTTTTTCTCGTCTCGATATTATTTTTTAGGTTGAAAATAATAAAAATTCTGTAAATTTCAAATCAATATTTTGATTTCTAAAGGTCGCTAAAAGTTCGTTGATATTTATATTCAGAGGTCGCTCGAAAACATTCAAAATACTCTATTTTGAAAGTTAAAAAAATCTTGAGCGACCTTTAGAAATTAAAATATCGATTTGAAATTTTCAGAATCATTATTATTTTTAAATTAAAAAATAATATCGGAACGAGAAAAAAAATTAAAATAAAAAAAATCCAATTTTTGACGATTTTGGTAATTTTTAAAAATCTTGAGCGACCCCTAAAAATGTTTTAATGGTGCCGATCTTTTGACAGGGCTCTTAAAACATGACAAACCAACATATTTTCACAAGAGACGAGAAGAAAAAAAATATTCTTTTTTTTGGGCCACCCTAATATGTATATATATATATATATATATATATATATATATTAGAGTGTTTCAAAAAAATTAACAATTATTTTTTTTCCAATGGTGTTGAAAAATTAATAGTACATTAAAAAACAAAAATGTTGGGGCCTATTTGAACCCTTAATATTAAGGTTTGCCTCAATTCATTTTTTGTTTTTCCGTTTCAATAACACGGGAATTTTTATTTTTTTCATTTTGAATTCTTATAACTTTGGAATGGTTTGTTTTCGCAACACCCAAGCGAGAGGATTTATAGACAAATTCACGCTCTACAAAAAACATCTGAAGGTCAAAGTTCTTCAGATCAACCGTTTCAAAGATATCAGCGATCAAAAATAACACTAATAAAAAATTTCAAATATTTTCAAATAAAATACAAAAAAATATCAAATGCCTTATTTATATTATTTTTTATGTAAAATCACTTTAATTCTGTTAACCTGAGACTGTAAACTTTTATATATATATATATATATATATATATATATATATTATGCCGGGTAACTATTTTTAGTATCATAAAAATAGTCTTAAACTTAACCAAAATTCCTTGGTCTGTTTGTTAAATTTTTGTCTTATATCCAAGATATTTAGTGAAATTTCACACTGGAATTATTTATAAAATGGTTTTAACATAATGAAATCCTAGTTAAACTGATTAAATATTACTTTTAAAAAGTGGAAAAATAAAATAAAATGTCTACGATAAAAACAAAAAAAAACTAATTTAATTTTAAGTTTTTGTTTCAAGTCCAAATATACAAAATGGACTTTATTTTATAAAATGATTTATAACCATTGTTTATTTCGAAAAAAATGTATATTCAATAGAAAATTTAAACCTCTTGTTGGCACATGTTAATCCAATCAACTTCTGACTTGGAACGAGCTGTGGACAATAAGTTCCTAGACTACTTTTTTTCTTAGAACACTTATCGACATCAGTGTTGCAGCGGCTTAGTAAAGATTGTAACGTGATTGTGCGATTTGGCATCTATTTTCCGGGCAATGATTTTGTCTGCGTTCATTAATGTATCGAGGTAGCTTATTTAGGCAAAGAAAGAAAATTAAATTGTTAGTGATAAAATGGCCCAGAAATAATCGATATGTTGAGCTGATCATGCTCAAATTTTTACCAAATGCTGGCAACACCCATACCTACAAACTGACCCATACTTATCAACCCCACTATTGTCACCTTTTAAGAAAATAAAGCAGTCTACGAACTTGTTGACCATACCTCGTATGTGTATATTAAGTTTAAGTACACAATACCAACTTACATAATACAAAACAATTATATTTTTTTTAGTTTGTCCACTGGATTATATATGGGAAGATCAAATATTAAACAGGTAGCACAAAAAAGGTTGATTGAAATTTCAAAATTTGTGGCATCCCTTTTTGAATGTGCATTTGAAATTTGTCATTCGGATTTGGTTTATACATTTTTTCATCCTCTATTACGAGATCAGCAAGATTATGATTTAAAAAAATATAAAGGTTAGTTTTTTATTTAATATGATTTAATAATGTTAATAATATTAAAATTTTAAGATCGTGTAAATGTAAAACATACCCCAGGTAAACTTTCTGGTCAAATAAAATTTTCATTGGAATTTTCCAAACAGGGGTTTTCAGTAATGATACATCATGTAAGAGGGTTACCAAAATTATTAAATGGCCAAGAACCATCTACTTATGTAAAAGTATATTTAAAACCTGATGAGAATAAGGATACTAAGAGAAAAACTAAAGTCGTAAAAAAAAATTGTCATCCTAGTTTTATGGAAATGGTAAGTTATAATTGATATAGTTGTTTGCAAATTAAATTGCAAAAATAATAATCATAATTTGTAACCATGAAGAGATTTCATGCTAAAATGTATCGTCTATATGTAAAATAATAAATTTATTGAAAAGACAAAAATTAACACCCAGGATCAAAAACTCGACTTACTTGTTTTTTTTTTTTAATTTTTGGAGCATTGGCTACTTAGGTCTTTAGCTCTTTGACATTACACTTTTTATTTTATTTATCCTTAAGTTTTAAATCAAGTCTACTTGCATGTTTGGGATGAGCTCAAATGTTTGTCAACACCCAAAAGTCTGCACCTGGGACTGGAATTAATTCCAAGAAACATTTTCTAAGAACCAACGTAAACAAATTTAGAAAGTCGATTTTAACAAACTTGTACCCAACCGATTGAACTAAAAAGTATAAAATAATGTTAACTTAAAATATTTTGTTATGATGAATGTATTAACTTATCACTTCTTAATGTTCAATGACTAGGTCTGCCAAAAAGCGTGAGGAGCATTTTTGAAAGTTACATTACATTACATTGTATTATAGTATATTAATATGTATACTATAATTAAATAAATATTTCATATTACATTATTTTATACCTTTTATTGCGCTAAAGCGTGTTATTTAGTTTACCTATAATTTTTGTTAATAATTATTAATATGCCCACAACTTTGTCAAAAATAGTTCGATTTCAAACAAATTGGTGTCATTTACATCCATAGTTCTTAAGTTTTCAAAAAATGCATGGACCTTAGTTAACATTTGTGAATTCAAAATGGATTTACATGAAAGCATTTTCAAGTCATTTAACTTTAGGTATAAATTTACACTGTCCTCGGATGCCGATAAAATATGACGTCACGGACAATTCATATAGGTTAATGTTAAGAGCATACATAAGTTTTTGCTCGGAAAAGTTAATGCTTTTTATTGATTTTTTTAGGTAAGTAATAATAATTTTATTGAAACGAACTACAAGTACTACAGGTATTGAATAGTATGTTTCGATGTGTTTACAAAAAAAATGTATGCGAAAAATTTGTCAAATTGTGGAAACAACAGCACTTGCCCCGAGCTGCCTTTTTTTAAACGTTTGCGGTGAGCATAAAATATCAAAAACGGCTCAACTAAATATTATAAAAAAATTACAATATTAGTATTGTCCCCTTCGTAAACAAAGGGTACAAGACTTGGGGTTTCCGGTTAAAAAAATTGAAATTTTCGTCCAAATAAAAGATCGTTCACGAAGGGGCTATTATAATTAGGAACTACACTTCCAAATTTCAGATCTATCCTTAAATCGTTCTCACTTCTACACTTAAGAAAAAAATGTGATTGCAAAATAAACGCGTTTTAAGTGTGTCTTCTGCACTTGTAGAAACGCGTTTAAAGTTTTAAAGCCTATGAGCCATCCTTTCCTCTCTCATTGCATCACTCGCGCTTTTGCCTTACGACGATCCTATGACGAACTGATGGGCACAACTTCCACAAGAAAATCTTTAAAACTGCAATATTCCCCTCGTCGAAAATGCATGCAGATATGTAGGGGAGACCGGGGCGGAATGGGGACTCTAACGTTTAAAAATTATTTTTAGTAGGATAGAGACGTGGTACAAATTCAAAAAAAGTCAGAACGATTTATTAAAGTATTATAAACAAAATACAAAAAAAAATTAACATAAATGCTTAACAATTTTTTTTATTATCGTATTAAAAAAAAGTGTCCTTTAATACATTCCGCCCCGCCTACGTTTGTAGTAACCCGTTTGTCATTACCAACTGCCGTGTTGGCCTTCTAGTAAATGATAACAAAGGACGATAGTACTATTGATCATCTACAGCGGGAAAATTAAATAAAACACCGTTCTGCCCCGGTACCCCGTTCTACCCCGGTCTCCCCTAAGCTGCAATTTCGACTGGCACTACACCTCCAGGAAGATTTTTAGAGCCTATTTTCCAAATGAGTTGGTAAGTTATTTTGGGTAAACTGGCTTAAGCAATGCTTAAGCTTAATAAGCATCTTTTATGTAATTTGTCCTTCGATAGATCTTCATAGATCGGCTTAATGGCTATCAAAACTTCTTCGGGTAGAGGCTGGTTAGTGTGTACAAACCCGGGGACTTTATTTTTTTTCACTGTCGCCTTGGGTAGCGCGGATAGAGCTTTCTGCCACTTACGCCTGGGGCCATCGGGAATTACGGCGTATAGCCAAACCGTAATATACAGTCACTTTTTCCATTATTTTATCGGTCATCTTTCCTCTACCTCCCATTCCTTTATTTTCCTTTATCAAGTAACGCAATCTAGTGCCTATTCTTTTTTGCACCTGTTCAATGCACTTTTTTTGTACCACCAGCCCTTCGTACGGCGCTATATTTTTTATTGCAGTGTACGTTTTAGAACCGCCGTCTCCAATGTAATTTGCGTATTCCACCTTGAGCAGAGTTGAAACATTTCGATAATGGCATCGACTTTTATTTTTAGAGTTGATCCTGATTGATTTGCTGTGCACTTATGATTTTATTTCCCCTCTTTGTACTCGACAGCCTCTTCTTTTTTAACCCTTGACACAATTTGAATTATGTACTATTTACTACAACGTCGACAACCTTGCCGGTTTAATATTCAATCAAGAAAGAAACTCCATACAACGAAGAAAATATGCGTTTATCACCAGATATTGTTAAATGTGTATTATTCGACCTGGAATTCACTTGGATTTCCTCACGCACAGCACGCAAGACTTATTACAAATCGTAGAAGCGAATCGAAAATCCGTTCCCACAGAAACCACAAAAAAAGCTGCAATTTATGCTACTAAGAGTTCTGGACCATGATTTTTATTTGGATATACTGTGTACTGTTCACAATATATCATGTTTTTTACTTTTATATGTTCTCTAATAAATAACATGTTTCCTTTTTAGTGATGGTTACTTTTTTTTCCTAATAATTGTTTTCCCATCTTCAGATTCATTCGATCATAGCACTCCCTTCTAATTAAGCTAGAGGGTTTAAATTTTGTAAAATAACTTCTTTTACTTTATATAAAAAATTTAGAGGGTGAGAACAAGTGTATCTACAACTTCACTTTTCGGGCCCGTTTCTGGACCACCCTAATGTAGGTATACTTTTTCTCTCAATGTACGAATGTGGCGCAAAAATAAATATCCACACGCCGATGGTATAAAAAATCACGACATGAATTTTTAGCCATCGGTGTTTGGATATTCATTTTTGCGACACATTCTTACTTTGAAAAAAAAAGTATATTAACAATTGAATTAACAGTTTAAAATTCAATATTTTCTTGGATTTAAATTAACTATATATAGTTAATTTAAATCCAAGAAAATATTAAATGTATTTAACGCAAAAACTGTAGATTCAACATAATTTTTCTAAAGTGTACGAACGTGGCGCAAAAATGATTATCCAAACACCGTTGGCATAAAAAATCACGACATGATTTTTTTGCCATCGGTCAATCGCAAACAGCGAAGGCATAAAAAATCACGACATGATTTTCACGAATGTTGTCCGGGTAGTTACTCAACCAGAAGCCAAAATCAGTTAGTTTTGCCATTTCCCTTGCGAAAAAAATGCCTAAATTTTGAGCATTAATGCCTAACTTTTAGGCATTAATGCCTAAAAAGTTAGACATGATTTTGAGTACCTAACTTAGGCATTATGCTTAACTTGGGAATAATGCCTAACTTAGGCATTATGCTTAACTTGAGAATAATGCCTAACTTAGGCATTATGCTTAACTTGGGAATAATGCCGAACTTAGGCATTATGCCTAATCGATTCAATAAAACTATTCATTTAATAAAAGGGGTGTATTTTTGTATGTCGGTATATTTATTTAAAAAAAAATGAGTAGCCAAGCGCTTTCGTCATTTAATCTAATGACATCATCCGGGCTAGCCCTAAAAAGTAAGTAAACATTAGTTTCAATAGGTGGGTTAAAAGTTTTTACTTACTTGTCAAGGCGAGCTTACATTTATATGTAGGAGTGAACATGTTGAAAAACATATAGCCCTGAAGGGAATTTAACATAACAAATTTTACATTTTATCTTTTACAGAAAAACCACGTTAATTTTGACGTTTAACTAGTGCCAACTTCATAATCTTAAAATTAGCGGGTAATTTAAATTAACTTAACTAAAAAAATCAATTAAATACAGTAGTTACAATTCAAAAACGTTATTTAAAAAATAAGCAATGGTGGGGGGAGGACGGAATCAATAAATGTTTTTATCCACGACTACCTTATAATATATACTTTATAAATGAGTTTTCCAAAGCAAAATGATAGTCATATTTCACAGAGTGAATAATAGCAGTGAATAATCATTATTCACTGGTCTAGAGTTCCTATAGGAAACACGATATAGATTGTATCTGGCAAGCACTTATCAGTTCGTCTAGGCAATTATAGCCAGGCACTTTAATTAGCTAACTTTATACCAATCATAAAAGTCTTGTTAAAGTATTACTATTAATATGTTTTTTTTTATGCAATTGAATAAAAATTTAACATTAAGTGGACTATTTCAAGTAAGTAAGCCATTGACATGACATGACAAGCTTAGCATAAATTGCTGTCAATTTGAAACGTCATAAGTTCGATCCAGCACACGAATTTTGTTACAAATTATTATTAAGCTTAAATTATACATAAAAAATGAAACCGTGAAAGATGAAGAGATGTTACGCACTCAACAAAACATCACAGAAGTCACTTTTCGAAATACGAATTACCTAAAAAATCACATTCATTGGAAATAAAATACTGCATAATCTATAAATAATAGAATTATCAAGTAGGAAGCCATGTAATCAACTGACAATAATTATTTGAAACGTCAAATTTTAACGACGCGGTGGTGCAATAATAATTCCTGTTAAAATTATAATTTGCTTTCAAAAATACGTTAACAATGGAAATTGATAGTGAGGAAGAGATATTGTGTA